AGAATAAGTCCTAGCTCTCATACCCCCCCCTATTCCCCCCCCCCCCCCCCCACCACCTTTCACAAAGGCAGGAGTCCTGACTCTTACTGCCTCATCAGAGAATGAATCTGGACTCTGCACCCCCTCACCAGAATAAGAGTCCTGTCCTCCACTCTCTTGTTTATCCTGATCCTTACCAGAGGGAAGTCTTACCCCACCCCCTTTCATTTCCTCACTAACAGTCTCCTACTCCCTTCCCCCGCCACCACCACCAGAATAAGAACTCTTTACCAGAATAGGAGTCTCGGTCCCTATCCACGGTGCTGAAAGGCTTGTCATTGTGCCAGGATAGAGAGTCTCCAGCATCTCCGTGGTAATGGCCAAGCCGTAGGCGGTAGTGGTCACTCTCAGGCTCCAGGGAAAAACCATCATAGTGGGCACGTGCCCCGCGGCCTCCCCAGTCCTCGAGAAGCACCAGTAGCTCATGGTCCCCATGGCTGGTCAGCTGATGCACAGGTTCAAGGCCCAGCCAGTATTCCCCATCAGGCTGCCCAAAGCCTGCCTGGCAGGGCAGGAAAGCCAGGGAGTCAGCAGCAGGTCCCCTTCCCCTGCCCAGCCTTGCCCCACCCACCTGTGCCCACCTTGTAGTGCTGCCAGGTAGTGAAGAAGCTGACAGAGCCATCTTGCCGCCTCTGGATCACAGTCCAGCCTCCGCCCTCCAGCTGTTGCTCACACCATGCTGACAACACATGCCGGCCCACTCGTAGCTCATACACTCCGCTCCGTCCATGGCCTGCCTGGCGGGCCTCTGCACAATCCCGCCATGGGCCTACGGGCACAGGGATATGGGACAGGCACAACCTGGACCAGTCAACCCTTTACTGGAGTAAGAGTCCTGATTCTCACTGGTCCCCTTACCAGAACAGTCGAACTGCCTCTCCTATACCCTCTCCAGAATAAGAGCCCCAATACCCCTTTTCTTACCTAAGTAAGACTCTAAGTCATTCTTCTCTCACTAAAGCAAATGTGGAGCCTGGGATTCTTAAATTCTCCTTCTATGGTCTCCTCAACAGAATAGAGGTCTTGAACACGGCCCTTTGAATTCCCTCAAATTCTCACCAAAGTAGCAGTCCTGAATCCCCTGCCCTCTTGTCAAAGTAAGAGTACCTCTCCTATTTTCACACCATAGTAAGAATTTTGGTCTTTATCAAAGTAAGAGCCATATCTCCCTGTTCCATTATCAGGATAAAAGCATCATTTCCTCCAGGCCCCCCAGCATGAGAGGAATCTGGCATTAAAGTCCTGACTCATATTTCCCTCTATTCATGCTGCACTGGGAATCTCCTGGCTCCTCACACCCCCAACAGCCCCACCCTTGTCTTACCTGCTGGCTTGGTAGGGACAGCAGGGTGCCCTGAGGGCACGGGAGAGGCCAAGGGCCCGGGAGAGGCCAAGGGCCCCTGCTGTCTCAGGGTCTGGTCTCTCTGGGATTCTGGGGCTGAGTTCAGCCTCCTGCTGGTGTCATTGGTGCCACCTACCAGACTGACTGGAACCACAGGCACCAGGGGCGGTGGCAGGACCTGGGGTAACCAAGAGAGTTAGATGTGATTGCACTAACCCTTAGCCCAGGATGCTCTGGGCTCATAAATCTCCTAGCACCCAGATGGGAAGATCAAGCAGGGGCGTGTATGGATCTTCCCAAGCCTAACTCTAGTCAAGAAGAGACAGAGCTGGGCTTAAACTCCTGCTCTGGTGTTAACAGCTTAGCCGATCTGTGCCTCCAAACTTTTCTGTGAAGTAGGGATAATATGAGTATCCAGTAGGGATAATATGAGTACATCCAATATTGAGTATTAACTTACTGAATCCTCCCAACAACCCTGTAAGTTAGGTACTGTCACAAAGCAACAATTGCTTATTCAAAACCTAAGGCGAGACATAGTCCAGAATTTAGAATAATATAGCAGGAGTTAGAAACAGTAATGCAGGGTCTGCCTTTATATTACCTAACACCCCCAACGAGGTCTTTGGTCTTCATCACATTAATAATATGCTTGATTATAGGATCCTATGAGTATTTATATTAGGTAGATAAGTAAAGACTTTAAGTAGCTACCAGTTGCGTTTTGACCCAAATGAGTTACTGGGGAAGAGGTAGGGGTCCGTTTTTGGACCTTTTTGTATTTCGGAACTGAGAATCATGGGGTTGGGACTTCCCTGGCGTTCCAGTGGTTAAGATTCGGTGCTTCCCGACCACTTCGATCCCTGGTCGGGGAACGAAGATCCCGCATGCCCCGCAGCGCCGCCAAAAAACAAAAAGGGCATGGGGTTTCAGGGGGCCCATCTACTGAAGATGCTCACAAGAAGTGGCTGCTATTTGGGGAGGGAGATAGTTTCAGAGTTACCTGCTGCTGCCCGCCCGCACTTCCCGGGCACAGGCGTTCCAGGCGGGAGATGAGGCCACTCTGCTGGCTGACCAGCTGTGCCAGCTCGCGGAACTTGACGTCCAGCTGGTGGAAGCGGGCGGCGGCGCGCTGCGCCTCGGCCGAGGCGTTCAGCACACGCTCCCCAAGCAGCGCCAGCGCGGCGGCAGGCTCCGTCCCCAGGCCTAGCTCCGCCCCCGGGCCCGCCTCGTGCTGCAGCTGCGCGCGCAGCTGGCCCAGGCGCGCGCTCAGGCCACGGCTCTCCTTGCGCAGCGCGCGCACCTCGCCGGCTACAGCGCCGTCGGCAGTCGCCAGCCGCTGAAGTTCACGCAGCACCTCCTCGTGGCGGCCCACTCGCACGCGCAGTGCCGCCACGTCGCTGGCGTTCACGGCCTCCGGAGTCGGGCGTGGAGCCGCCGGCCCACTCCAGCACACGGCGCCTGTGAACTTCTGCGGGGGCAGCACGAAGGTGTAGGTGCAGCGCGGGGCGGCTGCGCTCGCCCACCAAGCGTCCAGCAAGAGCAGCAGCTGCATCGTGAGCAGCCGGGGTGCCGACATGGCGGACCTGCAGGCAGAGGATGAACGGGAAGGAGGGGGCCCCGGAACCCAGGCTCGACCCCCGACTCTCAAGCTGGGCCATACCTATCTGGTCCCACGCGGGAATGCACAGGTGTACACCTGCGTAGATCAGGGTCCACACACGCCCGCCTCCATCCCTTTCCCTGTCCCGAGGCTGGAGATACTCCAATAGAATCCAGCTCTGGCCTCCCCACTGAGTTCCAGGCGCCCTGCGGGTCAGTGTGTCTTGTCCATTCATTCAGCAAGCATCCCCTGAGTGCTTACTGTGTGCTGGCCTCAGTTCTACGCGCTGGGAATACAGTTGGGAACAAAACACAAAAATCCCTGCCCTGGTGAGCAAGGACCAAATAAACTTAGAATTAATAGAGTGTATTAGATAGCCCTAGGTACTAAAGATAAAAGGTACTTTTAGTAAAAGACAGAGGGGAATTCCCCGGGTGTCCAGTGGTTAAGACTGCCGGCTTCCATTGCAAGGGGCCGGGGTTCGATCCCTAGTCTGGGAACTAAGATCCCGCAACCTGCACGGCGCGGCCAAAGAAACAACAACTACAAAAAAAAAAAAAAAAAAAAAAAAAAAAAAGGGAAAAAAATGAACAAATTTCTTTACAACCTGGGAATAGGGAAAACTTTCCTATGATTACTGGGAAGTATATAACTCAGCAGAAAAGTACAAATGTTTCAATATCAAAAAAAAAAAAAAAAAAAAAAAAAAAAAAAAAAAAAAACAGTAAAAGACAAAGATATGGGGATATGTGCAGGGGCAATCTGAGAGGAGGGAAGACCTGGAAGAGGTGACAGTTTTGAACAAAGACCTGAAAGAGGTGAGAGAGGAAACCATGGGGGTATCTGGGAGAAAAGAGGTCCCTGGCAGGGGGAACAGGAAGTGCAAAGGCCCTGAGGTTGGACCATGCCTGATGTATTAAAGGAACCTGGAGGAGACTGGAGCAGAAGCCATGGGGAAACAGGGGGCGGGGGGGTGAGGGGAGATGAGGGGAAAGTCTCACTAACTCAGTCTAGTAGCGGACACCCTATTTCCCATGTCCTCAGACCAAAACTCCAGAGTTATCCATGTCTCTTCATGGCAGATGGAACCCATCAGCCAGGCCTATCAGCTCTTGTGTTTAGACCCTGAATTCCTCCACACTCCCCCCCATTCTCACTCCCTCCCATGATCCCAGCTCAAGACACCATCTGGATTTCCTTAGAGCAGCTGCCTGCCAGGTCTCCAGGCTTCCATCCTCAACCTCTGTTCTGTTTCTCCCACAGTGGCCAGAGGATACCCGTGAACACCCAAGTCAGGTCACGTCCCTCCTCCTCTGCTCAGGACCTCTGTGGCTTCCTCCTCACTCCGAGGAAAAGCCCAAGTCCTCCCTGCAGCCCACAAGGCCCTGCATGCTCTGCCCAGTCCCCTCCCTCCCCTCCCCTCCTCCCATTCAACCTCCCACTCACCGCGCTCACTCTGCTTCAGGCACCCTGGCCTGGCTGTTCCTCAAACACACAAGGGACCCTCCAGACTCAGAGCCTTTGCACTTGCTGTTTCCGCAGCCTGGAATATTCTTCCCTGAATTTATCACAGCTCCCTGTCTCTCCTTATTCAGGTCTCAGCTCAGCTGTCTCCTCCTCAGAAGCCCTCTTTGAGGGACTTCCCTGGTGGCACAGTGGTTAAGAATCTGCCTGCCAATGCGGCGGACACGGGTTCGATCTCTGGTCCGGGAAGATCCCACATGCCTCAGAGCAACGAAGCCCGTGTGCCACAGCTACTGAGCCTGTGCTCTAGAGTCCGCAAGCCACAACTACTGAGTCCATGTGCCACAACTACTGAAGCCCATGCGCCTGGAGCCCGTGCTCTGCAACAAAAGAAGCCACCACAATGAGAAGCCTGCGCACTGCAACCAAGAGTAGCCCCCGCTCACCGCAACTAGATAAAACCCGCGTGCAGCAAAGACGACCCAACACAGCCAGAAATAAATTTTTTAAAAAAAGAAGCCCTCTTTGACTACCCCATTTAGAGTTGCCCCTGCTTGGGCACACCCTAGCACAGTCCGTCTATTTCATTTTAGCATTTATCACTCTGCAATTGCCTTGTTTGTTTGCCATTGTTTATGATCTGAATTCCTCCACCAAAACATCAGCTCCCAGAGGCTGAGCCTGGGTTTTGTTCACTGCTCTGTCCGCAGCGCCTAAAACAGTGCCAGGTGTCACACACACCCCACAACACCCACATGCCCCGGGTCTGCCCACATGCCCCGCCCCCGCCAGGTGTTCCCTGGCTCCCACAGGTGAGCTGTATACTTGTGGCCACCAACCCGTGGCCCTCCAGGATCCACATGCAGGCCTCCATTGTCTTCATTCATGGGGTTCACACACTTGCAGGCTGTCTGATGGGGAAACACATCCCTCCCACGTGCACATGCCAACATTAAGAAAATGTTCCACATGTCCACATGCTGGCCCTGTCCGCGCCAAGATCCACCATATTCCAAACCCACACATCCTTGTGGCCACACAGATGCATGTCCTGCAGACTTCATTGTCACACACATTGCCTTGTTCACACACTCTACAAGCATTCCTTGAGCACCTGTTGTGTGTCAGGAGCTGTTCCAGGAGATGGGGACACAGCTGTGACCAACACAGACAAAACCCCTGCCCTTGTGGAGCAGGCTGGGAAAACAGATGGTGGGTAGGCCAGAGGTAAGTGCTTAGTAAAAAAAACAGGGAAGCGGGTGGGAGACCTGGGCTGGGGGTGCATTTTAAATAGAGGAGTCAGACCTTACTGAGAAGATGACACTTGAGTGAAGACCTGAAGGAAGAGAGAGAAAGGGAAGAGCATTCAGGCAGAGGGAACAGCAAGTGCAAAGGCCCTGAGGTGGAACCTTACTTGATATGCCCAAGGAATAGCAGGGAAGCCTGTAAGGCTGCAACAGAATGAATGAGGCGGAGAGCAGGAGGAAGTGATGGGGGCAAAGTGTGCAAGGCCTTGTGAACCTTGAGGAGGATTTGGGGTTTTACTCTGAGTCATGTGGGAATCATGGAGGGTTCTGTGCTGGAGAAAGGCATATTCACTACTGTACTCACACCCCAAGCACTAGCTACCAAGGGCAGAGCAGGGTCCTCTCATTGCCACCCCCCGCCCTAAGACATCAGGCCCTCCACAACAGGGATGGACCAAACCCGTTGTACCTGGGGTGTGTGTAACATCCACTGCCTTCCAGGATCTCAGCCTGGAGTAAAGAGGAGGTCTGGGGAGTCCCCCAGCCAAGCCAAGGCCCAGGTTTCCCAACAGACAGATTCAGCCTCCACCTGCCCTCCCACCCTCCCGTGCTCTCACCTCTCACGACCAAGACCCTGAGTTCAGCAAGGCCCGCAGCAGACACAAGAAGTCCGAGGAGGAGCTGAGGGTCCAGCAGGGCCTCTGAACTGGAGAAGGGGAGAGGCTGGTGGGAGAGCAGGAGGGAGGAGGCTTGGTAACCACCCAGAGCCTGGGACTAGAGCGGTGATGCTGAGCCCAGGAGCTCCAACTGTAAATATTTAGCATTTCCCATGTGAGAACTGAGGCAGAATTGCCAGACCCTCCTGCCCAGGCCACCAGAGGCTGATAACACAGTTCAGTGCCCTGGACGTTCCCCCCACAGCACAGCACAGAGCGTGGGAGGCTGCAGGCCCAGGGAGGCTGGGTGGATCCCAGCCTCAGACATAGACAGGCAGACACAAACACACAGACACACACACACACACACACACACACACACACACCCCACAGAGAACAACAGTAGCGAATATCAGTGGCACCTGCTGCCTGTCAGGCATGACTCTAAACTCTACATTTTGTATCTCATTTAATCCTAGCAACCAGAACTGGTTTCTGTATGTAGCCACATTTTACAGCAGAGAACGGAGCCTCAGAGAGGGTGAGCAACTTGCCTGTGGTCACACAGCCAAAGAAAGGATCGGCAATGGGATTCGGCCCAGGTAACATGGCTCCAGAACTCACACACATATACCACAACAGTCACACACACACCTCTGTGTGTGCACATAACAGTAGAGCACAAAGACACACACGGATACCCAATGAGACATGCAAACCACTGCACAAAGCAGCAAAGATAGACAGATGGAATCTGTGTGTGTGTGTGTGTGTGTGTGTGTGTGTGTGTCCGTGGATTTTCCCAGCACAGACAATTACAACAACATACCTGGAGGGAATTCCCTGGGGGTCCAGTCGTTAGGACTCAGCGCTTTCACTGCTGGGGCCCAGGTTTGATCCCTAGTCTGGTAACTAAGATCCCACAAGCCTCGTGGTGCAGTCAAAAAAAAAAAGACACAACTGGAAATAGCACAGATTTAGGAAGCAACTATGTGTTCAAAATGCGGTCACAGGACTTCCCTGGTGGTGTAGTGGTTAAGAATCCGCCTGCCAATGCTGGGGACATGGGTTCGAGCCCTGGTCCAGGAAGATCCCACATGCCACGGAGCAACTAAGCCCATGCGCCACAACTAGTGAGCCTGCGCTCTAGAGCCCTTGAGCCACAGCTACTGAAGCCCGCGCACCTAGAGCCCGTGCTCTGCAACAAGAGAAGCCATCACAATGAGAAGCCCGCTCACTGCAACAAAGAGTAGCTCCCACTCGCTGCAACTAGAGAAATCCTGCGTGCAGCAATGAAGACCCAACGCAGCCAAAAATTAATTAATTAATAATAATAATAATCCACCTGCCAATGCATAGGACACGGGTTCGATCCCTGGTCCAGGAAGATCCCACATGCCGTGGAGCAACTAAGCCCGTGTGCCACAACTACTGAGCCTGTGCTCTAGAGCCCGCGAGCCACAGCTACTGAGCCCGTGTGCCACAACTACTAAAGCCCGTGCACCTAGAGCCCGTGCTCCGCAACAAAGAGAAGCCACCACCATGAGAAGCCCGCGAAACACAACAAAGAGTAGCCCCCCCTCACCGCAACTAGAGAAAGCCCACAAGC